CTTCCTTCCTTCCTTCCTTCCTTCCTTCCTTCCTTCCTTCCTTCCTTTCCTTCCTCCTTCCCTCCCTCCTTCCTTTCTCTTCCTTCCTTCCTGTTTTCTTTCATTCGTTCTCTCTCTTTCTTTCTTTTTTCTTTTTTTCTTTCTTTCTCTCTTTCTTTGTCTTTCTCTTTCTCTCTCTTTCTTCTCTCGTTCTCTCTCTCTCTCTCTCTCTCTCTTCCTTCTGCCTTTAAGTCTCAGTTCAGCCAGGGACCCTTCAGCTCTTCCAGATGTGGGTCTTGCTTGGCGTGTGTGTGGAGGTGGTGGATGGGAGAGCTCAGCCATAAGTGCTGACCCACCGCACTTTGTTCTCAAGCCTCACTTTGCTGTCATCCCCTGCCCTGGCCTCTCCATGCCTCGCTTTGAGAGCCACAGCCTGTTACCCTGTCTGTGGAACACGCCTGGGACCTTCCTGCTCTGCTTCTTTATGAAAAGCAGTGGCCAGACTCTAGCTTAAGCCCTGCCACTTAAAACCTGCCAAACGTGGTTCTGACCGTTTCGGGGCAGCAGGGTTTCCTAAATGCATTCTTCCTGCCAAGCGCTTTACACATGTTCTCTTATTTCATCTCCCAGCAACTTTACGAGAAACCACAGTCAGTTCATAGAGAGCACTGACCTTGTGCCAGGCACGCCAACAGCCTTGTCTGTGAGCTAGGAGCTGTCAGTATCATCCCTATTTTACAGATGAGAAAAAAGAGTCACAGAGAAGCAGCTAACTTGTTCACGTTCAGACATGCTTGGAAGCAGCACGGCCCCATTGGGTCCGGAGTCCAGAAACTTGTGCACTGCCCTGGTTTTCCCCTTGAGGACTGCGATAGTCCTAAGGCCTATTGCCTGCAGAAATAATTGAGCTCAGGCTTCAGGACTCTGGCACATGCCCCTTCCAAGGTCCTATGGGGACCTAGCAATGAGTTCACCTGACCATATGTGTTTGTAAGAGTAAGGTATTTTTAGTTGCGTGCAGTGGCTGATGGTTGTAATTCCAGCATTTTGGGAGGCGGAGGCGGGAGGATCATTTGAGCCTAGGAGTTTGAGACCAGCCTGGGCAACACAGTGAGACCCTCCATCTCTACAGAAAATCAAAAAGAAATATGGTGGGCATGGTGGCATGTGCCTGTGGACTCAGCTACATGAGAGGCTGAGGTCGGAGGATCACTTGAGCCCAGGGGGTCGAGACTTCAGTGAGCTGTGATCGTGCTAGTGCCCTCCAGCATGGGTGACAGAGCAAGACCCTGTCTCAAAAAAAAAAAAGGAAGACAGTTTATGTTCTTTTTCTCAAAGAGGGTCATCTAAGTTACGTAACGTTTAGACCTGCAACTTGGAGCCATGACTAGGTTATCCCATTTTCCTCCCTCCCTCCCTCCCTCCCTCTCCCCTCCCTCCTTCCTCCCTCCCTCCCTCCCTCTCCCCTCCCTCCTTCCTCCCTCCCTCCCTCCCTCCTTCCCTCCTTCCCTCCTTCCCTCCTTCCTTCCTTCCTTCCTTCCTCCCTCCCTCTCTCCCTCCCTCCCTTTCTCCCCTCCTTCCTTCCTTCCTTCCTTCCTTCCTTCCTTCCTTCCTCCCTCCCTCCCTCCCTCCCTTCCTTTCTCCCCTTCTTCCTTCCTTCCTCCTTCCCTCCCTCTTTTCTTTTTTCTTTTCTTTTCTTTCTTTCTTTCTCTTTCTTTCTTTCTTTGACAAAGTCTCGCTCTGTTGCTCAGGCTGGAGTACAGTGATGCAATCTCACCTCATTGCAACCTTGGCTTCCAGAGTTCAAGTGATTCTCGTGCCTCAGCCTCCTGAGCAGCTGGGATTATAGGTGCCTGCCACCATACCCTGCTAATTGTTGTGTTTTTAGTGGAGATGGGGTTTCACCATGTTGGCAAGGCTGGTCTTGAACTCCTGGGCTCAAGTGATTCACCCACCTCGGCCACCCCAAAGTGCTGGGGTTGCTGGCATGAGCCACTACACCTAGCTCCAGTCTCATTTTTCAGCTGAGCAAAGTGAGGCCCAGAGAGGTTCAGTAGCTCACAGAGGTCACACAGTAAATCTGGCAGAGCTGGGATATGGATCCAGGTGTATCTGACTGAAATTGGACATAACCCTTCACTGGCCCTTAAGGTGGGAGGATGTGCGTTTTTAGGCCTTCTCCCCTCAGTTTCCAGCTGTCTCTGCTCCACTGTGAGGCTGAGCAGCTTCTCTGTGCAGGTGGTGAGTCCTGAGGAGAGGTTCTGGAATGCATCTGGGGCGGCCTTTGTGACGGTACAGGAGCAGGGGCAGGTGGCAGGGGCGTTGGTGGCAGAGATCATCCTGACGATGCTGCTGGCCCTGGCTGTATGTATGGGTGCCATCAATGAGAAGACAAAGGGCCCTCTGGCCCCGTTCTCCATCGGCTTCGCGGTCACCGTGGGTATCCTGGCCGGGTGAGTATCCCTTGGCAGTGGGGTGACCATGACCAGATCTGCGCTGTTCAGCTCTGGAGGAGTTCAGGCCTGAGGGCCACAGATTCAGTTGCTATTAGGGGCCAGGGAGGTGCTGCAAATGGGGAGGTGGGCTGGCATCAGGCAGACAATAGGGAGTGGTGGGGACTGCAGTGTCAGAGGCGCTCCAGAGGGAACATGGGTCTGGGGTTATGCTTCTTCTGATTTCATTCAAGGGAATTCAGAAATTTAAATCTGCATGTGATGTTTTCCAATTTTGGTAGTGAAAACATAACATTTCTGTGTATGGTGTTCATTTGGTTGGCAGGTAGCTGGGTTTCAGCCTCAGGCCCTCAGGCTTCAAAGAGCATCTGTAGCTGTTGTCTAATTTATTTTTGAGTCTCTCAGGAGGCTTTGGAAGGGATTAACTAGACAAGATTGGGGTGATGGCTCCCGTTTTATTTCTTTTATCTTTTCTTTCTTTCTTTCTTTTCTTTTCTTTTTTTTTTTTTTTTTTTTGAGACGAAGTCTCACTCTGTTGCCCCGGCTTGGAGTGCAGTGATGTGATCTTGGCTCACTACAATCTCTGCCTCCTGGGTTCAAACTTCTCCTGCCTCAGCCTCCTGAGTAGCTGGGATTACAGGTGTGTGCCACCACGCTCAGCTAATTTTTGTATTTTTAGTAGAGACGGGGTTTCACCATGTTGGCCAGGCTGGTCTCAAACTCCTGACCTCATGATCCACCCGCCTTGGCCTCCCAAAGTGCTGGGATTACAGGCATGAGCCACTGCACCCAGCGATGTCTCCTGTTATATAGGTGAGGAAACTGAGGCTCAGAGAGGACAGAAGTGACTTATTTAAGGCCAATGGGCAGTGGCAAACTAAGTGACAAATTTGCAAAAAGATGATGAATGAGCCCTTTCCTTTTTATTCTTCTTGTAGAGATGGGGGTCACACTATGTTGCCCAGGCTGGTCTTGAACTCCTGGCCTCAAGCTTCTCCCCCTCCCCCGACCCCGTGTTGGCCTCTCAAAGTGCTGGGGTTACAGGGATGAGCCACAGTGCTTGGGCCAGAGAGTCTCTCCCTCATGTCTGACTGTTTCCTTGTTTTGGACACAGGACCAAGTCTAACCTTTCCCCTGGGTCAGCTCTCCCTCGACTTAGGGAGATAGAGCCGTGGCAGGCGGCAGAATGTGTGTGTAAAGCGGCGGCCATGCTTTGCTGCCCCCTAGTGGCCTTTGATTCACTCACAAGCCTTTTGACTTCGAAGCTGGACACAGGGTGGGGATGAGGTCGACAGGACCCCAGCTTGAGGGAATGAGGTAGAGACAGGGCCCCAGAAGGAGAGGGAGAGACCGGGGGAAGAGTCTCCCTGTAGGAGATTCTGGGCCTTAAGCTTGTGGTGCAACAAGGGCCTCCTCTGGGCCAGCTGGATTAGTTAATGCTTTTTGTACATTAATTATATTCAAGGTGTGGGCTCCATTTGCTTTTTCTCATTCACTCCTGACAACAACCTATGGGCTAGTCACTTTCACCTCAGTTGAACACAGAGAGGTTCAATGAAGGTTCCCATAACTAGAACTATCTGGGCTGGGGTTTTCTTTCTTTATATGCTTTTAAACTTTTATGGGTGACCCTAGTAGGTGTATATGTTTCTGGGTTACATGGGATATTTTGATACAGGCTTACAATGCATAATTATCACCGTCAGGGTAATAGGGTATTCATCTTCTCAAGTAGTTATTCTTTGTGTCACAAACAATCCACTTATACTCTTCGTTATTTTATTTTTTGAGACAGAGTCTTGCTCTGTCTCCCAGGCAGTGGGGTGATCATGGCTCACTGCAGCCTCCAACCCCTGGGTACAAGCAATTCTCCTGCCTCAGCCTCCCCAGTAGCTGGGATTACAGGCACGTGGCACCACACCCAGCTAATTTTTGTATCTTTAGTAGAAACGGGGGTTTACCACGTTGGCCAGGCTGGTCACGTACTCCTGACCTCAAGTGATCTGCCTGCCTCGGCCTTCTAAAATGCTGGGATTACAGGTGTGAGCCACCGTGCCTGGCCGAGGTTACCTGAAATGTTTTGATACAGGTATGCGACGTGTAATGATCGCGTCAAAGTAAATGGGGTATTCATCCTCTCAAGCATTTATTCTTTGGGTCACAAACAGTCCAATTATACACTTTTCATTATTTTATAGCGTGTGGGTCGGGTTTTGAATCTAGGTCAGCCTGACTCAAAAAGAGTTGAAGCTGACTGACTTTGTAGAGTTTGGGGCAGACGTCGATCAGCTTCTCTTCCTGCCATCGCCACGCAGGTATTTTTGCTGGGCATTGTAGAAGAGTTTGTGGGGAGTCCCTGACTGCACGCCCGGCAGGGAGCCACGCCTTATGCTTTCTAGTGCTGGCAGCCTCTCTGCCTTCTTTAGGATCCACCCGGGAGCCCATGATGTGGGAGTTTAGAGAGAGTTTCTGGGTGGCGTGTGACTAGGCCTGGTTGGGGACATGAGTGTGAGGTGAGGTGGGGCCTGGCTGGGATTCTGGTGACCGGGGTGCCTGGGTGTTTGCAGGGGCACTGTGTCTGGAGGCTGCATGAATCCTGCCCGTGCTTTTGGACCTGCGGTGGTGGCCGGCCACTGGGACTTCCACTGGATCTACTGGCTGGGCCCACTCCTGGGTGGCCTGCTTGTTGGACTGCTCATTAGGTAGGAGGGTGACACAGTGTCACTGGCCCATCGGATGGGCACTTGGCAACATCTCCTGGAGAGTCCAGGGCTGGAGGGCTAGGCTCTCACTTGGGTTTGGAAGAGGAAAGAGGAAGCCTCTTCAGAGGCAAAGAAAACGCCTCCATCTAGGAGCTTTGGTTGCAAGTGACGGATCTATTTCAAAACAGCATATGTCATAAAAAGGAATTTATTTGCTCACATCATCAAAAACTTCACAGGTAGCAGTGGCTTCACGGGTATTCAAACATCTTTAGGACTTGGTCTTTCTCCTTCTTTTTCTTTCTTTTTTTTCTTTTGAGACAGAGTCTCCCTCTGTTGCCCAGGCTGGAGTGCAGTTGTGTGATCTCAGCTCACTGCAACCTCCACCTCCTAGATTCAAGCAATTCTCTTGCTTCAGCCACCAAGTAGCTGGGATTACAGGTGCCTGCCACCATGCCTGGCTATTTTCTTTGGTATTTTTAGTAGAGATGGGGTTTCATCATGTTGGTCAGGCTGGTCTCGAACTCCTGACCTCAAGTGATCCTCCTGCCTAGGCCACCCAAAGTGCTGGGATTATACGCATGAGCCACTGTGCCCTGCCTTAGTCTTTCTCACAGGCTCTGTTTTCCCCTGTGTGGGTTTCATGCTTAGACTCTCCAATGGAGGTAAAGATGTTTACCAGCCACTCAAGGCTTGGATCTTAGCAGCTTGATAACTCTAGAGGAAGTAGAACAACAAGCTCTAGCAAAAAGCCACGGTCTGATGTTCACTGGTTTGAACTGGCCCACTGTGTGGAGGTTATTTGCCCATTTCAGAATCAATCACTGAGCCATGGGGGTCAGGCACTGGTTTTTTTTTTTTTTTTTTTTTTGAGACAGAGTCTTACTTTGTCACCCAGGCTGGAGTGTAGTGGCTCAATCTTGGCTCACTGCAACCTCTGCCTCCTGGGTTCAAGCAATTTTCCTGCCTCAGCCTCCTGAGTAGCTGGGATTACAGGTACACATCTCCATGCCTGGCTAATTTTTGTATTTTGGTAGAGACGGGGATTCACCATTTTGGCCAGGCTGGTCTTGAACTCCTGACCGCAAGTGATCTGCCCACCTCAGCCTCCCAGAGTGCTGGGATTACCTGCATGAGGCACTGAGCCTGGCCAATCAGGCACTCCTATTGGCTATGTCTGGAGCATGAGCCTAAGCCTGAAGTCGGGGTGAGGTCAGCCTTATCTGAACACTGCCAATAGGACTGAGAGTAGGGAAGGAGTGTTCCCTGTGGGGATACTGTACAACTCCAGGAGATCCCATCTACATGGGAAAGTCATGTAAATGTTACCCCCATGAGCATGCATGTCAGAAGACACCATTCACAAGAAATACGATGTGAACGGTGCTTCCCGGGGTGCAGCAGTGGATAAGAAGGTTGCTATTGCCAGAAGGGTAAGTGGAATCCAGGTGGAAGAGTCTAGAGTTCCTCTGCATCCCGCTTGGCCTCTTCTCCATGGGTTCTCTTTTCGTGTCCCATTCCTTCTGGACTCTGAACTCTAGGAGTCCAGGGATCACTGTCTGGATTTAGTAAACAAAGTTGGGACAACCTTGCACTGTCTGGGCAAGGACAGGTACTGGGGCAGGCCAATCTAGACTACTTGCTCCACCACTTACCAGCAGTCCTGGGGTCTGCAGGACCCAGCCTGTAGTTCAGTGAAAAGCATCACTATTTTCTTGAGACTAAGTCTCGCTCCGTCACCCAGGTTGGAGTGCAGTGGCACGATCTCAGCTCACTGCAGCCTCTGCCTCCCAGGTACAAGCTATTCTCCTGCCTCAGCCTCCTGAGTACCTGGGACTACAGGTGTGTGCTATCATGCCCAGCTAATTTTTGTATTTTTGGTTTTGTTTTTTGAGATGGAGTCTTGTTCTCTCACCTAGGCTGGAGTGCAGTGGCATGATTTTGGTTCATTGCAACCTCCCCCTCCTGGGTTCAAGAGATTCTCCTGCCTCAGCCTCCCAAGGTGCTGGGACTATAGGCGCCTGCCATCACACCCAGCTAATTTTTATATTTTTAGTAGAGACGGGGTTTTACCTTGTTGACTAGGCTGGTCTCGAACTCCTGACCTCATGTGATCTACATGCCTGGGCCTCCCAAAGTGCTAGGATTATAGGCATGAGCTACCGCGCCCAGCCAATTTTTGTAATTTTTAGTAGAGATGCGGTTTCACCATGTTGGCCAGGCTGGTCTCCAACTCCTGACCTCAAGTGATCTGCCTCCCAAAGTGTTGCATTATAGGTGTGAGCCCGGCCATCACTATTCATTTTTTTCTGGGTTTTTAGAGTGGCAGCAATGAGCATCTTCAGGAAAAGTGTCAGAAACCAAGCAGGACCCAGGCATGTGGCTCATACCTGTAATCCCAGCACTTTTGGAGGCTGAGGCAGGTGGATCACTTGAGGTCAGAAGTTGGAGAACAGACTGGTCAACATGGTAAAACCCTGTCTCTACTAAAAATACAAAAATCAGCTGGGTGTAGTGGTGCCTATCTGTAGTCCCAGCTACTCGGGAGGCTGAGGTACGAGAATCGCTTGAATCCAGGAGGTGGAGGCTGCAGTGAGCCGAGATCATGCCACTGTACTCCAGCCTGGGTGACAGAGTGAGACCCCATTTCAATTAAAAAAAAAAAAAAAAAGGAAACCAAGTAGGAAGAAACAGTGTCTTCCTCTCCCCAAGGGGATCTGGCTATTAAGGCTGGGGAGTCTCAGAAAGTCATCTCTCTGGAGAATGCGTAGCCTGGAGACATATGGCAAAGGGCCGGCTCTCTCCTCCGGGGCTGAGACCTTTCTGGGTCACCTTTCCTGCAGGTGCTTCATTGGAGATGGGAAGATCCGCCTCATCCTGAAGGCTCGGTGAAGCCGAGCTCAAGCTCGTGGGATTCCTGCTCAGGCGAGTCCTCAGCTCTCCTGTCTCGGACTGAGAACAGAAGAGTTCCTACACTTCCTGCCAGGGCACAAGCTTAGAGGAGACACCCACTGCTCCCACTGCATGGGCCTGGTTTCTCGGATAGACAGACTGCTGAGGAGGCTCTAGGTTCTTGGAATTCCTTTGTGTTCATCAGAGACCCCAGCCTGGGGAACAGGTTGCCTGTGCTGCCCAGAGAGTGGTGGAAATGGCATGAGAATTTTTCTCAAGAGGAACGTCCCGAGTTGGGAAGAGGCTGTTTCTGTACATCAGCTCATTTCCCGCACCCCATTTCTTTCTCCTTCTCTTGTTTCTTGATAGCTTTGTTGTACAAGGGCCTTCTGGGGTCCAGCCACTTCCTTGCTTCTCAAGCTGACAATTCTCACTTTGCAATAAATAGTCCAATATCTCATTCCATGTGTCCACTGGTTTGCCTTTCATTTGAGAAATGGGCACTACTGAGGAGAAAGCAAGCAAAAAAAAAAAAAAAAAAAAAAAACAACAAAAACGGGCGAGGGTTAGGCCTTGGCTGTCCAGAGCGGCTGATCCTACAGCCCAGCTCGGAGTCCTGGGTCATGGCAGGCACTTGGAGCTCAGGCCAGCCCACAGCCTGTCTCTACTTGGACAGGCCCATCTTGGAGTTCTGTCTGGAGCTCAGAGTGCATTCTACAGTCCCAGCTGGACTCGAGTCAGAGTCAGTTTCAGATCACAGACCACGGGACCCTGCTGAAAAGCCCCAGGCAGAGTCCAGGGTCTGGCTGAGTGGCCAGTGCTGTCCCTAGTTGAGGGCTCAGTACTATCCAGGACATGGGTCAGCCCATTCATTCACTCTAGCTGGGGAAGTGTGTGTGTGGGGGGGGTGTGGGCTTGGGGTGGGCTGCAAGAATTCCCCGAGGAGTATTAGGTTTGTGGAAAATATATTTTTTTGAGACAGAGTCTCACTCTATCACCCAGGCTGGAGTGCAGTGGCGTGATCTCAGCTCACTGCAACCTCTGCCTCTTCCTGGGTTCAAGTGCCTCTCCTGCCTCAGCCTCCCAAATAGCTGGGATTACAAGCATATGCCATCATGCCTGGCTAATTTTTGTATTTTTAGTAGAGATGGGGTTTCACCATGTTGGTCAGGCTGCTCTTGAGCTCCTGACCTCAAATGATCCACCTGCCTCAGCCTCCCAAAGTGCTGAGATTACAGGTGTGAGCCACTGTGCCCGGCCAGTTGGTGTAAAAGTAATTGCAGTTTTTGCCATTACTTCCAATAGGAGTATAACAAATAAGAAAGGATGGAAAGACACACTCTGAAAGTCATCCCTTTGAAGCAGAGTGTGCGTCTTCTTCGTAAGAATCAATGGGTCATTTACAAAAGATGATCATTATAACACCATAAAGAAGTGCCAGGGAAAAATCACTCTCAATGACAAGCAGAAACACCCACTTCAACAAGATGAGCGAAATGCTCACTTGAGCAAAAATGAAGAAACTCACCACTACAATATGAGAGACTGCCCATTGAGAAAAAGGGAGGAAAAAATATGATACAATCAGAAACGAGCAAAGTAGGACATTTACAGAGAGTTAAAAATGGGTCGGGCATGGGGTTCATGACTGTAATCCCAGTACTTTGAAAAGGTTGAGGCAGAGGATTGCTTGAGGCCAGGAGTTCGAGACCATCCCACGCAACACGGCAAGACCCTGTAACTTGAAAAAAAAAAATTAGTTGGGTAGGTGGAAAATGCTTGTGGTCTCCTCTACTCGGGAGGCTGAGGTGGGAGGATTGCTTGAGCTGGGGAGGTTGGGGCTGCAATGAGCTATGGCAGTACCAGTGCACTCCAGCCTGGGCAGGAGAGTGAGATCCTGTCTCCAAAAAAAAAAAAAAAAAAAAGTCTGGGCGCTCTGACTCATGCCAGTAATTCCAACACCTTGGGAGGGTGAGGTGGATGGATAACTTGAGGTCATGAGTTCAAGAGCAGCCTGGCCAACATGGTGAAAATACAAAAATCAGCCAGGCTTGGTGGCAACCACTTGGGAGGCTGAGGCAGGAGAATTGCTTGAACCTGGGAGGTAGAGGTTGCAGCGAGCTGAGACCTTGCCCCTGCACTCCAGCCTGGGCAACAGAGTGAGACCCTGCCACAGAATAAAATAAAAAGAGAGTAAAAACTTAGAAGTTACTATTTCGTTTGGGGAAATAAACCTTTGACAAATCTAGTAAATAACAAAAGTTATATATCCATATATATGTATACCTACATGTGTATAGCTAACATTTATGGGGCATTTGTTACACATTAGGCACTGTGCTGAATGCTTTGCACGCATTATGTAATTTACTCCCTACGACAATTCTATGAGATAGTACAGTGGGTTGAATAGTGTCCTCTCGAAATCCGTGACAGTCTGTAGTCTCAGAGTGTGGCGTTATTTGGAAATAGGGTCTTGGCAGATGTGATTAAGGTACAAGTCAAGATGAGATCCTACTGGATTAGGGTGGCCTTTCCTTGTAAGAGACAGAAAAAGGAGGTGCAGAGACACAAAGGAGAAGGCGACATGAAGATCGAGGCAGAGGTTGGGGTTATGCTGCCAAAGACAGCACCAGGAGCCGCCAGGAGCTGGGAGAGGGAAGGAAGGTTCTCCTCTAGAACCTTCTTGGGAAGCCTGGGTCTGCTAACATTCTAATTTCAGACTTTCTGGCCTCCAGAATGGAGAGAGAATAATTTCTGTCATTTTAAGCCACCAAGTTTGCGGTGTTTGTTCAAGCAGTTCCAGGAAACAAATACAGGTAGATTCTTTAATTATTCTCATTTTGCAAAGGAGCCAGTGGAGGTTCCAAAGGGTGGCGTTATGCTAAGCTACACAGTTAGTGCATTGGTGACGCCACTGTTGAAAGTCACGTATATCTGGCTGCAGCGTCCATGATCTTTGTCATCATACTTTTCTGTTTCTGAATAAGGGACAATATTATGTTCTTTGCCTAGTCTCCTAATTGCCTATTAGTTCCTCATTAAGGGGACAGAGCCATGGCGGCATGTGTCTGTAGTCCCAGCTACTTGGGAGGCTGAGATTGGAGGATCACTTGAGCTCGGGAGGCTGAGGCTGCAGTGAGCTGTGATTATATCATTGCAGTCCAGCCTGGGAGACAGAACAAGACTCTGTCTGAAGAAAAAAAAAAAAAGGAAGACAGAAAGACATGCATTGTAACTCTTCTCATTTCAAACGTGCAATTGGATTTTAAGTTCTCGCTTTCATTTCAATTTTTAGACTCTCAAGTGCAAGATGGATATAAATTCATCTTTGTATTAAATAACTGCACATTATGTGTTTAGCGTGCGCTGAATAGAAGGGACTCAGTAAGGCTGGAGTGCAGAGGTGTTATCTTGGCTTACTGCAACCTCTGCCTCCCGGGTTCAAGCAGTTCTCCTGCCTCAGCCTCCCATGTAGCTGGGATTACAGGTGTGTGCCACCATGCCCAGTTAATTTTTGTATTTTTAGTAGAGACAGAATTTCACCATGTTGGTCAGTCTGGTCTTGAACTCCTGACCTCAAGTGATCCACCCGCCTCAGCCTCCCAAAGTGCTGAGATTACAGGTGTGAGCCATCGCACCTGGCCAGAAGGGGTTCAGTACTCATTGACTGAAAGAATGGCATAGGCTGATCCCAGTGACTCCCAAATTCATTCTGACCCTACAGAGTGAAATCCAAAACTGGTCCAGATCACCAGGTTCACCTCTATCTCAGCTCCCTTTCTCTCAGTAACAAGGAGGTCACAGAATTTTTGGGTGTTAGAGCTAGAAACTCTATTACAATAGTAAAATATGGTGGCTGTAAGTTTACATCCTGAGGAAGATTCAAGTTTAAATCTCAGAACTGTTACCTTTTTGCTGTATGTACTTGAAGAAGCTATTGAACTTCTTTAGCATCAGCTTTCTCATCTGTAAAATGCAAATACGGCCTCAGAATGCTTATGAAAATTAACAATGTTTATAAAGCATTAGCACAATGCTCAATGCAAAAGCAAGTATACAATGTATTAGCTCTTATATTTATTATCACCTAATAAAAGATTTTGCAATTTGCACGTATCAGAATCATGGCAAGGCGTGGAGTTTGGCAAGAAATTTCTTTCTTTTTCTTTTATTTAGAGACAGCATCTTGTTCTGTCACCCAGGATGGAGTGCAGTGGTGCAATCACAGCTTGCTGCAGTCTCGACCTCCTGGGCTCAAGCGATCCTCGAGCCTCAGCCTTCTGAGTAGCTGGGGCTACAGATGTACATCGCCACAGTGGCTAATTAAAAAAAAAAAATTTTTTTTTTTGTAGAGATGGGGCCTCACTGTGTTGCCCAGGCTGGTCTTGAACTCTTGTCTTCAAGCCATCCTCCCATCTTGGCCTCCCAGTGTTGGGATTATAGGCATGATTACCAGCCTTGGCAAGAAACTCCTGAATGGATGTGGCACATATATATTTTTTCTGTCAAGTATTATCATATAGGGACCTTTAGGGCCTCCCAAGGGGAAAAGGTTGGAACCCATTCATCCTGTTCAACACCAGATTCCAAAACCCAGAGAAGCTAAATAATTTGACTGTAATTACAGAGCTGTCAAGCAGCAGAGCCGTTAGAATCCAGGATCCTGGACACCCAGTCTAGGGCCCTTTCTACTGCAACAGGTATGTACTTAGTTCTCCAGACCCTTGGGGTACAAGTACCGAGCCATTTCCTTTCGCCAGTATTGTGTTGAGGTCCTCACATGCCACGTTGTTGGGAATCCTAGTATTCCTACTAGGGGTATATTTCCAAGAACTCTGGGGGTTTAAGCAAGCCAAAAGGGAAGTGTACCAATCTTTTATTAATACTTCATGGGCCGGGAGCGGTGGCTCACGCCTGTAAACCCAGCACTTTGGAAGGCCAAGGTGGGTGGATCACCTGAGGTTAGGAGTTCAAGACCAGCCTGGCCAACATGGCGAAACCCCATCTCTACTAAAAATACGAAAATTAGCCGGGTGTGATGGCGGGTGCCTGTAATTCCAGCTACTTGGGAAGCTGAGGCCGGCGAATCTCTTGAACCTGGGAGGTGGAGACTGCAGTGAGCTGAGATGGTGCCACTGCACTCCAACCTGGGTGAAAGAGAATCCATTCATACAACAACAACAAACAACAACAACAACAACAATTTTTAGGAACAAAATGCCTTGCATATTGTCGTAGGGAAATTTTTACTTCGTGCCTGCAGCTGCTGTTCTCTCCGCTGCCACATGGCGCCGAAGAGGTTCTCAGAGATGGTATACACTACAGCAAAGTCACAAAGACGGCTTCGAAGACTTTGTCTTCAAAGAGGGCTCCTTTACATATAATTCCACAACTTCCACGCCAAGCACATTTACATGTGCCATGGACTCTACACACGTATCCAAGCAAGGCTTATGGCTT